AGCAGCACAACTGTTTTCAACATTGACAATAATAAGAAATGTTTCCTGAGCACCAAATCAACATATTAGTGTGATTTCTGAAGGATCATGTCACACTGAAGAGTAATGATGCAGAAAAAAACAACTTTGTCATCACAGGAATAAATTAAAATAAATGCAGCCTTGGTGAGGATAAGAGATCCCACATTTTAAATGGTAGTCTATATTGTATAAAAATGTATACTATTAGATACAAACATAACTATTTTGCTGTGAATGAGATTATTTTGTTAATGTCATATTTTGTGCTTGCAGAATAAAGTTTAACTGATTTATAAATTAAATTCTACACCATTTAATGTGTCTAACTGATCATCAATCTAACAGTCACATGCTTATTTGATGCCAGGTGATGTCACTGGATGAGTCCTCGGTGATTGGTCGAATTAGTAAACAGTGGACAGGATTTGAAGCAGAAGCTTTAACGGATGCAGACAACTTTGGTTTACAATTTCCAATGGATTTGGATGTGAAAATAAAAGCAGTTATATTAGGAGCCTGCTTTCTTATGGTAAGTAATAGGTACTCTTCTTTAATACATTTTTTTACATTATTTATTAGCTTTCCTATTACATTTCTAAGAATATTTCCATGTATTTTGTTCTAATAATAATTCAATCATGGTGCAATGAAACACATTTATGCTTAACATCTTATTTAGGCTCTAACTGAATATAATATATTTACATAATTCCTAATTACATTAATTTACTTTTGTCTTCTTTTCTCCATTTTGAATATACAGGATTTCATGTATTTTGAGCACACTCAAAAACAAGAGTGAAACCATCCTGGAGCTTTGTTCCACATTTGATTACATTATGTATTTTTTTGAAATACAGATGCTGTATTACAGATGAAGTATCATAACTAAAGATTGAGTGGGTCATAGACTTATTTTTTTCATTACAGCACAGTGTAAAACATCCACTTATCTCACCTAACTAATAATTCTTCCAGTTTTATTACAGAAGTACAAACTTTTTCATATACTGTATATATATTTTTTCAAATAAAGAAAGGTGTCACCATAAACCTGCTGTAAATATAGCATGTCGGCCATCTAGAGCATCTCAATGTTTAACTAATCCATAAAATGTTGATCATGAATCAAAAAAGCAGGATGACATATTTAAAGAATTCAAGATAAAAATTCTTCAACTGTGCCATTCTGTTTTTAGATTTACTAGTAGTT